CAGCCGCCTGGCCAGCCCTTCGAAAGCCAAAATGTCTACGGATGCCCCCCCAGGCACTCTACTAAGGAGCTTGGATCTTTCGCCCGAAAGATTTTCATTCTAGCGCCGCCGAACGTGCAAACTGTTGGGCCCCCGAGCCCGCCGATGTCACCCGCGGCGCCGCAGCGGGCGGGAGCGACCCCTGGTCGCGCACGCGGCGCTGGTGGCGGTGTTGCCCCCGCCCCCCCCCCCCCGCAGGGGATGCTGCCGTCTCGCGCTGCGCTCGCTGGCGGGTGGTCCAGGCGCCCGCCGGGACCAGGTGGTTCGGGCGTTGGCAGAACTGGGTTTAGTGGGACCTCGTCGAATGATTTGTACTCGGGGAGGCGCCCCCCCCCCGCCCCGTTCCACTAACCAAAACTGCCGTCACCCGAAAAAAAACCCGCTACAGCAGACGCGGTTTTATGATCTAGTCAATTTAGGGGCTCAAAGGCCCTACTACTGACCGGGCCCCCTTACCTGCGTTTCTGGCTATACCCGGGTGGTTCCCGCATGCAGGGGGCGTTGCTGCATTGTGTTGCGTTCGCCCGCGGGCGTTCTGGGGCAAGGGTGGTTCGGTCAGGGCGTTATTGCAACGTCCGCCGCAAAAAGTATTGCCATGTTGTGCTGTGCTCGCCGGGGGCGCCCGCCGGGGCCGGGTGGTTCGGTCAGGGTGTTATTGCAACGTCCGCCGCAGGGTCCACGGGCGGGCGGTGCGGGCGCCTGCCGGGGCCTGGTGGTCGGTCAGGGCGTTCTTGCATCGTCCGCCGATGGGGGCATTGCCATATTGCACTGCGCTCCATGGCGGGTGGTGCGGGCGCCTGCCCGGACCAGGTGGTTCGGTCAGGGGTTTCTGGCATCGTCCGCCGAAAAGGGTACCAATACGTCCGTACGCATTGTGCTGCGCGCGCCAGCGGGTGGTCCCGGCTCCCTGCGAGGGAGGGCGGGGGGTTCGGTCAGGCTGGACTTGACGGCCTGGCCGGCGAGGAGGTGAAGTGCAGCGTCGTGTTGCACGTTCGCACGGCGAACGGTCGCGAGACACTCGAACTTTGAGCGAGACAAGCGCCGACTGGCGTCGTACTGTCAGTGGCCGACTGCGAATCCCATGGCGCAACCAACCGTTGTATCTTCGGTCGCTGGGTGTGAAGCGCGCGACGCATGGAGCAACCGCGAGGAGGCAGTCGTATTACCAGCCTGGTTGTGATTGTTTTGACCTCGCAGCGCCGCGCATTACTCCACCTTCTCTCCCTCCTTCGCTTGGTTGCTCAACCTCGCTATGTTGTTGAACATCCGTTTTGAATCCGCAGCGCCGTGCGTTCACTCTCCCGAATCCCGCCCCAATTTCCTTCCTTCTCCATGTCCCTGCTTTCCGTGCGCCAATCGCGCTCCCCACATGGGAGCGACAGAAGGGAGAGACGGGGGAGGGGGGGGCGATGGCGGAGATGGGGATGATGATGAAATCAAGGTTGACAATGTGGGTGAGCGGGTGATGTTGAAGAGGGATGTGATCAATCGTCGCTGTCGTCGTCGCTTTCGTCATCGACGTCGCCGCCGTCGCCCTCGTCCGTCAACCGTCGTCCGCGGTCCGTTGTCATGACCATCGTCGTCGTCGTCGTAGCCGTCGTCCGTCGTCGTCGTCGCCGTCCGTCATCGCCGTCGTAGTCGTCGTCGTCGCCGTCGCCGTCGTCGTCGTCGTCGTGGTCGCCGTCGTCGTGGTCGGTCGCCGTCGTCGTCGTCATCGTCGTCGTCGGTCGTCATCGTCGCCATCGCCGTCGTCATCGTCGGCGTCGTCGGTCGTCGGTCGTCGGTCGTCGGTCGTCGTCGTCGTCGTCGTCGTCGCCATTCGCGTCGTCGTGAACGGGCAAGATAAGGGGGACGACGACGCCGACGATCAGGATGATATGGAGGCGAATCAGATTCAGAAGCCAGTGAAACCAGGTCAATCAAGCCTGGGCACGACAATCACACGTCACATCTGGGGAAAACTGCCTCAGCTTTTGGGGGGGAGGCCCCTGGGCAGATGGGATAAAACCCTCCCTCCCCAGCTTTGGTGGGAGGCTGGCCCATGGCCCTACAAGTGTGAGATAGGCTCTGCGCGTAAACTGTGGCGTGGGCGCCACACTTGTCACAATGAATCACCGCCCCTCGAAGCACCTGCAGCATGTATGTGGCAGGACAGTTGGGGTACAAATGGCGCCTGAAGGGATGTAAAAAACAAGGTACCCAGAACCGATGCAGGGTCCAAGGCAGAAAAGAAGCGCATGTCCAAGCGAGGCACATTTCCAAACACAAATCCGACACTTGAGAGCCACGCCTGTCTTGACATGTTCGTGGCCAACTCTCCACAATCGATCACGTATCATGCAAAGGAACCGGAGAGGAAAGGGTCGGGGAGGCGGGCGGCCGAATCCGTGAGAAAAACGACGAGAGTTTACCTGGACGACCTCCCTGCGCACAGCGTGCAACCCTATTCGCGGTCGCAGAGGTGGGGAGGTCAATATAACCCGCGAAGTCATAGTGCTCTAGAGTAGGAATGCATCCCTCGGCTGCCCAGCCCGCGAAATATCTGGTTCACCTATGGCGAATGTGGGCCGTCTGGTGGGCCGTCGAATGGCATTCGGTTGACAGGACCCCGTCCCGATCGAGGACCGACCATATCCGAGACCAGACATCAAATAGTTAATTTGATGCACGAGCACAAGGCTGCCTCAAAGCACGACCAAGGGTAGATATTCAGACTCGCGAGATGCATCGACAACTTCATCCGACATCACCATGAAGACCGCATACAACCCAGCCTGAGGGCCGAATTACATAACTGATGGAAGACTTCCGCACACCACGCAGTACAAAATAACGTCAAAAACACCATGCACAACCGGCATTGGCGCAGTCTCTTATCGGTAACATACGCTAGAGGAAGCGGGAGGTGCCGACAGCTGGCCTCCAGAGACGGAATCCCACGACTGAGAAAGAGGCACCTTCGAGGCCGGCGGTAGAAGCTTCATCAGCCAACGACTCGCGACTCGCAATTGCCGGGTCAGGCAATCAAAGAGTTCGCAAGAAATGTCCAGCATCGGTGCAAGAGAGATCCTTTTGTATCGCCACATTGATAACATCTGTCGTCCGGGAGGTGTTCTGTCTCCTCCAAGCGACTTGCTGATCACCAACCTCCAACAACAGTTGTGCACAACAACGCTGCTCCTTTGAAGTGGCCCTCCTCGAACAACTTCTTATGTTCAGGCCTGAAGAAAATCACATCGGCACCGGTGTAGAAGCCTTGACCACGCTAGTGCTGCCCGACAGCAGTCCCGACAGAATCAGCGCAGCACGCGCGCACGCAAGAGGTAAGATCGATGACGAGGAGGCGGATGAGACTTGATGAGGCGAAAGAGCAGGTAGGAGAAATTCGCATGACGAGCGTCCCCGCTGCGCTCGAATTATGAGCGAGACAAACGTGGAGCGGGCGATGCCACAGATGGGGTCTCACGTCCACTGGGGGCGTCGTCGGTTGTCGTCAAGAGTGAGCCGCGTACTAGGGACGACGACGACGTTGATCAGAATGATGAGGAGGCGTGAATTTGGAGCTCGATTTGAATTCGGCGGTCGATATTCACTCACGACGACCATGCGGGGAGGGGGGGGGATGAGGATGCGGACGAGGGGGATGGGGGAGGATAAGGTTAGGGAAGATGGTAATGATGCGGTGAAGGAGGAGAAGGACGTCAAAAACTGGAAGGGGCAGAGGGTGGAGGGGGGTGAAAGAGATAGAGAGAGAGAGATGGAGGCAGAGGGGGAGAGGCAAGAAGGGGGGAAGAAGGAGGACGGGGACGAGGATGGGAATAGGAACCGCGACTGACATGGTAATGTGAATGATGGGTAACGATGAAGATGGAAGATGGGGAGGGGGGGATGCTGAAGAGGAGGGCGACGGATGAGGCGGATCAGGAACAGTACGGGGATGAAGATGGCGTGGGAGGATGAGTAGGAGTAGGGGGTGGGAGTAGGAATAGGATAACAGGACGAAGGTACTGAGAAGGGGGAGGACGACGACGACAGAAGTTGGCCCCCACAGCAAGTCTAAACGGTGAGCATACATCGGGCGTAGCCCCGTAGACACTGCCAGGGGGTGCGCCACCCATGGCTTGCGCACCATGGGTTGCCCCATATGTTGCGCCGCGAAGTGGGGTGCGGCGCTGCGGGGTCAAAGCAAGGGTCCAACAACGCAAGAGGGTTGGGAGTGCGACGGCCTGGTAGTGCTAGCACAATATGTTGCGCGCTCGTCGGCCGAATACAAAGCGGTCTGGTTGCGCCATAGGTTTCGTATGGGACCGCCTGTAGTTCATCAGCATCATCATCAGCATCATCGTCATCATCATCACAATCATCATCAGCATAATATTCATCTTCAGCATCATCATCAGCATCAGCAGCATCATCACCATCGTCCCCACCAGCATCATAATATGATCATCACCGTACTAATCATCAGGACCATCACCATCACCATCACCATCACCATCAGCATCATCATCATCATCATCATCATCATCATCATCATCATCATCATCATAATCCTCATCCTCGCCATTATCCTCGTCGTTGTCGTCGTCATTGTCATCGTCCTGTCGTCGTCTTGCCCCCTTCTCATCATCATCATCCTCTGTCTGTGGCCTCGGGCCTCATCACCCTCATCATCATTATCAAGATCCTCCTACTCATCCTGATCCTAATCACCATCACTATCACCATTGTCCTCCTCCTCATCATCATTTACCCCGAACAACGCATGGCTGATCTTGAGGCCCCAACGTAACCCAACTTAAGACTTCCGCTACGCGTGCTAACTGGTCGTATGCGCTTAAAACACATCATCTACACCGAAGGGCTTATACATGATTCCAAAGTTCATCTAACCAGGATGCCCCTAAAGGGGAAACCGAAGCAAGGGCAGCGGGATCGGTACCTTTTCCTCCTCTGGGGTCCCACTTGTCTGTGATCGGGAACGCGATGCCGACCTCCCCGGAGGCGTACGACGCCCACGAGGAGCCGTCCTTCGCCCCGATGCCGTCGCTCACACGGCTGGGCGCGGCCTTCCACAAGGAGCCATCCGCGCCCTCGGCCGTGGGGTCTCCCTGGCCATACGATGGAGGAGGAGGAGAAGGAGGAGGAGGATGATGCCGACTGTTGACACATGTTCCTGCACCATCTCTCTGCCTGTCCGTGTCGCTTGCACTTGCAATGTCATTTTGTATACTTGCGTATGTGTCTTGTCTTACCATTGCTGATATGGCTCAAGGCTTTCTGATTCAGAGTCAACAGCAGATAGTGCAGAGCTTCGCGATTGTCCGCCCGACCCCCGCGTGCCAACAGTGGCAGCGGAGCGGGGTTCAGGGCCGCAGGCTACAGCAGCACCAGGTGCTGCAGTGCGCAGCTAGCGGGCCAGGCGATCCACGGACCTACGGGGATTGGACGGACGACAGGGGTGCGAAGCGTGACACTGACGGCAGTCGCTCATGTCAGAGGGGCTCTCGAGGCAAGACCTCGATTCGATAGCAAGTCGAGTGGTAGAGCTGCTGAGGGGCGCAGCCCAGCAGCAGCAGCAGCAGCAGCTTCAGCAGCAACAGCAGCAGGATCAATACCGTGGTGCCCTCCTCCAGCACAAGCTGCACCAGACCTGAGCGATCAGAGAGCAGAACCTCCAGCACCATCCTACACGTGTTACGAGCACGGGCAAGACCTACTGTGGCAGGATGGCCCGTGGGCCTCGACGTGGTCAGAGGGGGGCTGGACAGGGCAGGCCTGGACTAGACCGCCTCACGACACAGAGGAGCTTGGGACGTTGGAGGCATGCGATCAGGATCCAGCACCAGTGAGAGATGACAGCTGCACGCCTCCCTCGATGAGAGCCCAGTGCCGAGACAAAGGCGCTGAGCAGACCGACGTCCCACCGTGGAGCCGATGGCAGGGCAGCTCTTGGCAACCCCGTGGCTGGGCCTCTTGGAGCGGAGGCTGGAACGAGAAGCAGAACATCCGACCTCCACCGTCCTGGCCAGGCAGGGACAAATTCAGGCTGTTGAAGCAGTACGTGATCAGATGCATGCACAACTCTTGGCTTTTGGAGACCCAGTGCACCGACCTACTACTGGAACTGGAAGAGCTTCCCTGGGACCTACGAGCCAAGCTGCAGTTCATTCCTGAGCAGGACCTCACGGTGGACCAGATCGTGCATCACCTTGGACAGGAAGCTGGAGAGAGAGAGAGAGGGCGACGAAGTCTTCAAGGCGGGCAACGAGGCCACCGGAGACATCGAGCGGAAGAAGGATGAGGACCTGCTAGAATGTGTGACACGCCGAGGCAAGCAGTTCGAGCGCGCCAGAGAGATCGGCATGGAGCTCCCGCCCAAGGTACAGGGCAAGTTGCTCCTCCAAGGTGCTCGGCTGTCTGCTCAAGGTAAGCAGAATGTTCGGAGTCTCACCAGGGGCTCTCTGCTGGGGCCCGACATCATGTGTGCTCTTCCTCGACTGGACACGGGCGGCCTTTCCCGGGGAGACGATCCCGAGTCTCACAGCAGCCTTCTCGAGCTCAGCAGCGATAAGCCCAGCAACGAGATCGGTGACGGCGAGATCGGACCTCCAGAGTTGGCATGGTCCTGGTGAGCCGACGAGCTGGACTCCGATGACGAGCTCGGCATCCTAGTGGAGCTCAGCGGACGGGACCTCAACGAGGATGAGGTCAACGAGACGCTGGCTCAGATGGAAAAGGGCCGCCAGAAGACCAGAAAGGAGAACAAAGACCTGAAGAAAACTGTCCGGAAAAATCGTGGCTACTGGAAGCGCAGGCGCTGACCCACGCCGGCACAACTCAAGCTAGTCACGAAGTGCGGTAACTGCGGGAAGACGGGCCACTGGCACGCGGAGTGCAAGAACCCATCCAAGCACAAGGAGACCCGTCAGAAAGATATCAAAGGCGCATCTGGAGCAGGCGGCACGGCATTCTCCTTCGACGGCAGCGGGTTCACCCACACTGAGCAGGACGAGAATCTCAACGGCAGCTCCTGGATCACACTGCTCGGCAAAGAGGCCCTGAGGGAGCTCCGCGGGCAGTATTTCGAGAGGAACGACGAGGACACCTACACCCAGAATATCCTCTCCTTCATCACACTCGACGACGGCTGCGTGATCGTGGACAGCGGGGCCTCACAGGCGATCATAGGCAAGGAGTCCCTCGACCGCCTCACCGAGGACCTGACCTGAAGTCCCGAGGGCTCGCTCCTGTGTGGATCGACAAGCCCGCCAGGCCTCCGAGGGGCATCGGCGGACAGGCCACCTTGCTCGGCGTGGCGATGGTCCCGGTGGCGATGGGAGGCAAGTCTGGAATGATCGAGTTTGTCGTGACCAAGGAGAGCCTCCCACCACTGCTACCCGGTGAGTTCCTCGACTCCTTCGTTGCCATTTTGGATTATCCGCGGGAGCAGCTCACTTTATAGAAGATCGGATGCACCGTGCCCACGGAGAGATCGGGCAGGAGCCACAGGACGATCAGGTTGAATGATTGGCAGGGACTTGAGAGCCAGTTCGAAGCGCCAGCACATCTGGCACAGTACTGCAGGGACTTTCGGAGCACCGAGAAAAGTTCCAGTGGACGGACCCTACTCTCATCATCATCTCCTTCATTTCCCCTTCCTACTCATTGTACCTCTTCATATTCTTCTTCCGTTGCCCGCATTCTTTCTTCCAGGAGCTGCGCCACCCACGCGATCTCTACAGCAGTCTACCCTACGGGGCCCAGAGTGCCGGCCCATGGCGATCAGGCGTGTCAAGACCGAGGACGAGGCTCGCATGGTCGTGGGACTCTGGACGGCCCTCCTGGTCTCAGTGGGCACCTACTTCGACGGGACCAGGACCAGGATCTCGAGGCTCGTCGAGGACATGCGGCTCTTCGACACCAAGAACTACAAGAAGCGACTGCTCGAGGACTCGAAGCTGCTGCTGGAGACTCAAACCAGAGCTTGGACGAGATGCACCCATCCACCATGGAGAATCTCGAGCTCAGGGAACCAGTACGCTCTGTGGGACTCCTGTTCGAGCTGCCGGATGCGAGTCGCCTACGGCCCCAAGCTCAACACGGGCAACGGCAACCGTAGGATGACGAACCAGGAGTTGGCACTACTTCGAGGACAGTTGGCAGCTCCCGTGCGACACACGGCCCCTCGGAGCCCTGTGCCAGCCGCGAGGCCCGCAGATCACTCTGCGGCGTCAGAAGATCAGTGGAGCAGCCTGTCGAGCCACTCTCCTCCTCCAGCCTGGGCGGTGGCGATGATGCAGGAGGCTGTGCAAACCATGTCGGCGAGCAGGTCTGCAAACATGACAAACGCCATCCAGGCTACTCTACAGGCTCAGTCGCAGAACCTGGCCACCTCGATGATCCCCCTGGTCTCCGAGATGCGGTCGGTGAACGAGCGTCTGAACGCCCTGGCCAGCAGTCAGCAGCCGGCGGATGTGCTGATGCTTCCTGCGGCAGATGAGCTTACGAGTCCAGCCCCGGCCTCCTCCTTGCACCAGGGCCAGGAGGGTCCGACGCAGGGAGAGTTCGAGCTGGTCGGGTCGTCGCCGAGTCCTCACTCCATGTGAGGCGGACATCTCCCGCAGCATCCATGGAACTCAGGCGAGCAAGCAAGCTTCCAGGGTCTTGCTGGATACGGCTACCTCAGGCCGCCAGTCGCCATCGCGGACTGTGGAGCAGCGTACTTCGTGCGAGCAAGGCCGACCTATGCTACTCTTCTAGCTCTGGGGAGAATGACTTGTGTTTGGAAAAAGTGAGTGATGAGGAGCTGTGCGCACCATCATCGTCCATAACATCGTCATTGGCCAATGCCACATCATCTATGACTTCACACTCTCGTTCATCACTTACGGCACCATCGACCACGGCATCATCTTCAACGACATCATCAACACCATCATCAGCGACCCAGGTGCCAATGGCATCTATAACAACATCATCTACACCACTGACGTCTAGGACATGACAGATGTCGATGACACGTTCCTCCCTTGGGATCTCTTGGGATCATATGCTGTATGTTCTTGTGGGCTGCTTTCTGAAGGCTGAGAACGAAGGCTTGGACACGGGGCTCTGGACGCTGGTACCCAACAGGACTGCATTGAGATCGTCTCCTCTCCTCGCATTGGGCCGCATGTGTCTCGACTTGGTAGTCCCTACTGGAGGCAGCTTGGATCTCCAGACAGGTTGAGAGTTCAGGCTATCCAAACACCGCCAGCTTGCCAGGAGCTTGATCGATCTTTGGAAGCCGTGGTTTGTGTTTCTTTGCCCACCTTGCACAGAGTTCAGCATACTTTCCGCCTCTAACGAAGACCGCCAGGACCCCCGCTGGTTAGCCATCAAGCGTACCGAGGCCGTGACCCTGTGGGGATTTACTCTAGAGGTTGCTGCCGAACAGGTCTCTCAGGGTCGGAGGTTTGCGATCGAGCAGCCCCGACAAGCTCACTCACTTCGTTTACGCAGTACCGAGTGGCTGCGCAGTCAGGCTGGCGTTCAGGAGGTATCCTTCGAGATGTGCAGGTTTGGTCTCCGTGTCAAGGGCGAGTCGCTCTCGAAGAAATCCACGAGTATCTTGTCCAATGATCTGGTGTTGCTCGAGGCTCTTTCCCTGAGGAGGTGCAGGGGCGATCACAGGCATGAGTTGTTGGTCGGGGGCTGGGCGTACCGTGGCCAATGCAGTACTGAGATCAGCACGGATCGAGAAAGAGTGTAGCTTTGTCGAGACCTCCCTCACTTCTACCTATCCCACACTTCTGTGCGACGAGGACCTACAAGCATCCTGGGTCGGCGGGCCAGCGGAAGACGACGATGAGTGCGCGGAAGCCGAGGAAGCTGAGGGAACACCAGACGTCACGGAGACCGTGCTCACCCAGAAGCGAAAGAAGATGGCAGAGAAGGCACACATAAACCTAGGACGTCCCACGAATCGTGATCTACTACGTATTCTACGCAGCGCACATGCACGCCCTGAGGTATTACAGCACGTACAGAAACACTTCGAATGCCAGGCCTGCTCCAGTTCCTTTCGTTCCATTTCCTCAACGCAGCGTGCCTAGGTACGTCTCTCCAATCGACTGGTGTTGTTGGTGTAGGTCGTTGTTCACAGCCGGGTCTTGTCTGGCAGGTATTTGCTAAAGGATGGCTTCGCCACTGCGGTCCGCCAGAAGTGATCATGTCGGACGGAGGTGCGGAGTTCGAAGCAGAGTTCAATCGTTTTGCATAGCATTCAGGATCTCATCATCATGTGACCGACGCCGAGAGCCCCTGGCAGAACGGGAAGACTGAGCGGGCAGGCCAGTGGTTGAAGGAGCGTCTCCAACGGATCGTTCAGGAGGTGTTGCTGAACAGTGCGAGTATATTTGGAACAAGCAGCCTGCGAGCTCACGGCTTGGCGAAACCGCTTCCTCAACAGAGGCGGATTCTCTCCATTACAGTTGGCATTTGGTCAGAACCCTCGATTGCCTCACGAGCTGCTCTCAGAGGACCCTCTAGATCACATTGGCTTACATGATCTCTCGGAGGCCAGTGGTGATTCAAACAGTGCCGCAGCAGCCTTTCGTCATCAGTATGCCATTCGCACCAGGGCCAGGGAGCTGGGGGTGGAAGGAAATGCTCGGAGTAAACTCAGTCTCGCTCTACGTTCGGCGTGGCATCTTGATCGGAACTACCAACCAGGAGATTGGGTGGACGTGTGGCGCAGGGCCCAATTCTCTGGCAAGAAACCCTTTGGGCTCCAACGCGACAGGTGGGTTGGTCCAGGTTCGGTCATCTACCATCAGGGCACTACCGTCTGGGTTGGGATGAGGAGCAAGCTCTGGAAGTGCAGCAGTGAGCAGATACGCCCAGCTACACAGACGGAGTCTTTGGGAGCAGAACTTATCCAGTCCTCGGCATACGGATCGGTCCTCTCCAAGGGCTTCGACAAGGGAATCTCGGGCAGTGCAGTAGACGGATCTCAAGAAGGGCCCCCTCCTCCAGAAGCCCAGGCAGTGCCTCTCTCAGATACTCAGGGAGGTCTTCAATCAGGTCCCGAAGTTGTAGAAGATCCTGTTAGAGTTCCCGATCGAGCGCCCGAGGTACATGGGTCACCATCTCCTGTATCGGACCCCAGGCCTGGGCCTCTAGAGCCCCAAGCGGAGGCCCGCCCTAGAGAGGAGTCTGACGTCTCGGAACCTGCCAGGAGTGTGATTCCCAGGACCTCACCACCACCAACCTCCTACGTAGCATCATCTAGCTCGACCCGCACCTCTGGGCCCCGCACGACAGGATCTCCGACAGTTGTTCATCAGCCCCCAGGCGGTCGACGCCTTGTGTGGGCACCCGGACCTGCCTCGCGGCTGGTGTCTGTTCCTGAGGAGGAGGTAGCTCCGTTCCGCGGAGGACAGGCTGCTCCGGCACCCGACTCAGCTTCGAGGACATCTCGCTCGGCAGGTGGCCCAGGGACGGCTGCTCCCAGCCAGGGTTCTGAGCCCGCAGCTGAACCAACGCCCCCTGGAGCCTCGGAGGTGTCTTCGCGGAAGGCCTCGGACATCTCCCCGGCACCCTCAGACGTGGGGAGCATCGATTCCGAGGTGAAGCGTCTCAAGGTCGACCAGGAGTCGTGGACACCAGGGGCACCGAGTCAACCAGAAGTCGGGACAGCCCAGCAGGAGCCGGTCATCAGGCCTGAAGATTTCCGATCCAGTTCGAGGAGCACCCTGGTCAGCGCAGTTTCGTGGTGCAGGAGCTCCTACCTCATGCCTCCGACCGAGCTCGTCAACACATCGAGGGATGGGACCATTGGGCACAACCCCGGGACTCTGGGGAGATGGCAGTCGACTCCCAAGCAGATCCCGACGAGGAGCTTCTGAGTGCCTACTGAGAGCCATGCGAGACCTGGTTCCAGGATCAGGGATGGAGTGGCACTTCTGCTGAGTACACCAACGGCACCGAGGACCTCGTGTATGTCTACTCAGAGGACAGCGTCGGCAGTTGGAACCTCCTGTCTTCCAAGGGTGGCGAGGTCAAGCTGGGCCACCTGAACCCTGAGGAGCGCGAGCAATTCAGGGCCTCCGACGAGGCCGAATGGGCAGTGTTGAATCGACCCGGCGTCCTTAGGGTGCTGTCCTTGGCCGAGTCTCAACATGTGGCCAAGACTAAGCCAGACAGGAGCCTGTCTTCGAGGATGGTGCGTCGCAGGAAGTGCCAGGAAAGCACCTTCAGCGCCAAGAAGGCTAAGAGTCGCTGGTGCGTGCACGGGTTCAGAGATCCAGACACCGAGAAGCTGGTCACCTACTCCCCGACTCCGCAGTCGGAGTCCATGCTGACCTTCGCCATGGTTGTCTTGTCCTGCCTGAGCGACGCGGAAGAGAAGCGATATGCCCTGGCCGCCGCCGGTGCCAAGCAGCACCGTAGCAAGGAGGCCAGTCGGCGCTACCTGGAAGCCAGGGACCTCCGTTTGCATTCATTTAGACAGTCAGATCGACAGTAATTCTGGGGAGCTGTTGAAACATGTTCCTGCACCCTCTCTCTGTCTGTCTGTGTTGCGTGCACTTGCAATATTATCTTGTATACTTGCGTATGCGTCTTGTCTTACAGTTGCTGATACGGCTCAAGGCTATGCGATTCAGAGTGACAAGCAGGTAGTGCAGAGCTTCGCGATTGTCTGCCCGACCCCCGCGTGCCAACACCGACGACGACGACGACGACGACGACGACGACGACGACGACGACGACGACGAAACTGCACCATCACACTCCACATCGCCTTCCTGCATTCCTGCATCACCCCTGGCCCCCCCGATTCCAGCCGGCGCCTTGAGACGGTCCGTCGTCGTGACGGTTTGCCCCTGCACCGCCACCCTGGCCTTTCGGGGCGCACGCAAGGTGGGGTTGGTGAATGGGGCGCTCGAGAACAAGCCAAGCCGCACGCAGCCAGTCTTCCCAACGCCTTCCCAGCGCTTCCCAGCACCACAAGCGGTCGCGTACTCGAGAAGGGCGCTGGGCGGCTGGGCCTGCACCGGCTGCGTGCAGCCGCTTTCGATCCCCCATCGCCCCCTCACGCCCTTCGCGGCTCGCCGCAGTCGGGGGAGGCGTGCTCCTCCCGGCCCCGCCCTGGGGGGGACCCATCGTGTCGACGACCTCTCGCGAGAGGATGTCTGCGGAGACCAAAGGGTACCGATGCCGCTATAATCCCTGGACCTCTCTCCTGGGGTGCGCTCTGACCAGAACTTCGAGGCGAATCCGGCGGTGGCGACGAGGGCCTCCCAGGAAGCCGCAACAGGGGAACACGAGGCAGTCCTCGGAGAGTGGAAGCCGCTGGGCCGACCGCAGCTCCCCCAGCCGTGGCTCGCCAGGAGGCCGCCCCGACGGGGCCACAGCGGTAAACGGGGCGGAGGCCCGCACCGCATCGCCGATGCCTGGGCGATGCACCGGCGTCGTCGGGTTGGAGAAGCTGAAACGCAACCTCAGGAGGCAACTGCTGGGAGGTCTCCGTCGAAAGGACTCAGGAGGATTAAGCCCCATTGGCTGGCTGGTACGCCGGATTAGGCCGCGGACTCAGCGGGATTAGGCGGGATTAGGAGGGATTAAGCCGGATTGACCGGGAATAAACCGAATTAAGCCGGATTTCGGACCAAGGCAAGCTCAGAATCTGACCTCCCAGGAGTTGCATCCGAAACAACCCAGGCGGGCAAGCCGCTGCCATCGCATCGGGCTCAGCGGTCGGGGGACCCCGCTTGACCCGCACCAGAGGCCATCCCTGCGGAAGGTCACCCTCACGTGCAGACAAACGCTTGCACCCCTCGCTCCCATCGGGCCTGGGCCTCAGAGGCCTCAGAGGAGCCCCAGGATGGCTCCAAGAGGACCCTCAGGAAGGCCCGAGGAGGCCCAAGCACACATCGCCGACGCCCAGAAACAATACATAAACACAGATCCCAGGACTCCCCATCGTTTCCATATCTTCACGATGTTCGTCTTCCCCATCCACTTCCCCAAATTCTCCGCATTCTGATTTGAATCGACGCTTACACCTACACACATATATATATATATGTATCTATACACGTGTGTGTGTGGTGCGTGCGTGCGTGCGTGCGTGCCTGCCTGCCTGCCTGCCTGCGTGCGTGCGTGCGTGCGTGCGTGCGTGCGTGTATGTGTGTGTGCATTTTATGTGTATGTGCGCGTGTGTGTGTGCGCGTGAGTGTGTGTGTGAGTGTGTGTGTGAGTGTGTGTGTGTGTGTCTGCGAAGCCCGGGCACCGGACCGACGCGGCGCGCGGTCCTCCGACCCTGACGCGTCAGAAGAAGACTCATCGGCACAAGCCTGCTTTTAGGTCGGGCATGTCCTCCCGCAGGCGGATTTTGGAAGAAACATGAAAAATTGTCAAACAAAAGGTGCAAGGCATGAAAAACAGTCAAACATGAAAAATAGTTCAACATGAATCATCCCCTGCTGTTGGCGAAACATGAGAAAAGTCAACAAATGCTCAGAAGCAGCCAGAAGAGCCTGACACATCGGCACCGGACTCATGTTTACACTGTGCTTACGTCTTCCTCCTGTAGAGGGACATGCCCGACTTAAACCTACTTCGCGGATCTCTCGGATCTGCGCTGGCAGGGGTGGCGCCGGAGACGCCGCCAGGGGAGGGGGGCCGGCGCCGCTCCGAGAAATCCGCGCGGGGCTCCGAAAGTTCTGCGTCCCATGAAACATGGTCTCATTTCGAGTAATGGGTCTGCTGCAGAATTAATTTACCCCCAAATTCGCATTTTCGCAAGAATCTTTGGAACATGCAAAGAATTCTCAATTGAACTACGAAAACTCAACGCCCCGAGGCTGCAAAGCCGACGAGGGCCCATGAAAACGCCTGAAAGCCTCAATCCTCGAAAATTCGCCCCCCCTGAGCTGGAGGGCATCCCAGCGGGGGGCGTCCAAGAAGGGGGGAGCGCACATCATGGCCGGCGGCACGTGCGCGGCTCAGTGAGGGTCGGGGGGCGTACTGAAATAAGAAGAGGCGCCATGAAATCTGGGGAGATATCACACGGCCCTGGCCCTGACATCCACCTGCCCCATGGTCATCACGCCGCTCTTATGGGAGTCCCGAAACGGTGCGGTGACAGACCGTGCAGTGACCTCGAAATCCCCCAAGCCCTCACCGCACGGTCCGTCAACGCACGGCTTTGACCTCGGATGCCCCAGTCGCCCGAGACATCCTCGAAGAACGACCCAAGTCCCAAAACCGTGCGGTGACCCCGAATCCACACCGACTCACCACACGGTGTGGTCCCTACCCCGTTTGGGGGGCCCCGACTCTTGGCCGCCCCCGAACGTGGCCCCGGATGGGCCCAGCCGGGATCGGCCAGGGGGCCGCCTGCCTCTCGGCCACCAACTCCGAGCCTTCTTTCTTGCCGGCGACGACGAGGACGAGGACAAGGACAAGGCTGGGGGTCGAGGACGAGGACGACGACGCCGACGACGGCGACGCCACAAAGACTCGGCCAGTGCCCCCGGCCTTCTTGGCGGCCCCGCGGGAGCGCGCTCCCGCGGCCAGCACGGCGGCAACGCCGACGGCGGCGAGCGGCGCGGCGGCGCCCGCGGCGGCGGCCTGCGGCTGCTGCGGCGCCGCGGCGGGCGACTGCGGCGGCGCCGGGCCGCGGAGCTGAGCGCCAGTGGGGGCGAAGGCGGCCGCGCCCGCGCCGAGGGAGGCGAAGGTCGGGTGCTGCCAGGAGGAGGTCAGGAGGAGGAGGAGAAGGAGGAGGAAGAGGAGGAGGAGGAAGGGGATGAGGATGAGGCCTCCTGAGAGGTCGTCGTCAGGATGATTGCCCGTCAGTCGGAAGAAATGGGTAGAAACATGAAGCAGGAAGGCGTTGGAAGTTGATTGGGCTTCGGCCCGCCGCCCGAAGAGGCGGGAAGAGGGAAGACCGTCCGACTCTGACCGTTCGACTCATGAAGTAGGAAGGCGGCTAAGGCAGAGTGGGATCTGGGGATCTAGAAACATCTACATTCGACGACCAGCGTGTAAAGGCTATGAAGCCACATTAGATGGCCGTTGACCAGGATCAGACTGGAGTGGGCCTGGGGTTTCGCCGGATCCAGCGGGAGTAAGCCGGATCGAGCGGGAGCACTCGAGATTAAACGAGATTTAGGCCAGTTTTTGACCAGGGCCATACCAGCGCCGATTCTGAATGAACCTCCCAGGATGAGGGGCGCCTTCCTCGATGCACTGGCGCCTGCGGCGCGGGGAGAGTCAGCCGCATGAGCTGAGTCCAGAACTCCCCCTTTTTGCGGATCCCCCCTTCGTCCGACCCGAGACTGGCCCAGTGCGGGAAGCAATGACCAATGAAATCGGCGATGCGTCGACAACAGATCGGCGATGGGACCCCCATGGGGAAGTCCCGCGTTCCTGAGCAGGCTGGGGCATCCATCGGGGGCGCGCAGACATGGATTAGCGATCCATGGATTCGGCGCGCGGTCGCCAAATCCATGGATCGGGGGAAGTGCCCTCCCCAAAATGCGACAGGTGCCGCCTCGTTCGGCGGCTGAAATCTGCGATTTCCCATGGAAGCGGGACCCGTCGCTAATACACTCCCCCTTAATCCATGGTTGCGATCGCCTGAATCCACGCCGCGATCGGCGAGGATTGGACGACGTTTGGGAGTGGATACGCCCCCCCTCCTTGGGCCAGCCCCCCCCTGTCTGCGCCCCTGACAGGAGCCCAGACCTCCAACGCACTGGCAAGAACCACAGATCTGTGTGTAGTTTTGCGTCGGGCATGTCCCTCTACAGGAGGAATACTCAACAATAGTAAACAAATAGTCTGGGGACGATTGTTTGACTATTCTTGGCCTTTTGGGGCATTTTTTTGCTACTATTCTTAATTTGTCGTCCAACATCCGCCTGTAAGGGGACATGCCCGACCTAAGTGTAGTTTTGTGCTTCGCCGATGTCGGCCCCTCGGGGCCCCTCACCAGGCCCCAGGACCGTCATAGAACTGCTCAGGATGCTCCCGGACGCCCCGGTGAACGCTCGCCGTGCCCCCCCCTAGCTATGGTGCCGCTGCAGTTGGTCGGCGGTTACCCTTAGGTCGGGCGCGTCCTCCTTCCTACAGGCGGATTTTGGAAGAAAAAAATAACCCCAAAAATGCTCGACGATGGTAAAGAATAGCAGAAAAATCGTCCTCAGACTATGGTTTGCCTATTTTTTAATATTCCTCCTGTAGAGGGACGTACCCGATTTAAGGCTACCCTGGGGTGCATCGGCTACTCCTGCCCCCAGCCGTCGCCCACCGGGAACCCCGGCAGCCTGCGGCCATGGCCAGCAGTCGTCGTCGTCACCGCCCGCCGTCATCGCCGTCGACGACCCCAGACCACCTGGCGTCGTGGAAGAAAGGCTCCGGCGGAAAATTCTGGGGGCCCTCACCGGGCCCAGGGGCAGTCAAGAGGCGATGCACGATGAAGAGGCAGTCCTAGGCAGGGGGCGAGACCTCTTGGGGTCTCTACTGCGAGGAGAAACTTGGCGTCGGAGGTGGCTCAAGCACGGGGCCTGGAGCGCATACAAATACCATCGAACGCCCGGGGAGCGCTGGGCCCCGGGAGGCAGCGGATGTGGATCATCTCAAGGGCATCGGGGGACCCAAACATGTCCATGTCCACTGCCTCCCCGGGTCCTGTGCCGTCGGTTCCCCAGGCGGAGGACACATATGTACTGTAGCCTCATCGCTCTGGCTGCCGGCTTCAGCTGGGATGCTCAGAAGGACTCCAAATCTTGCCTCACGAAGCCCACACTATATAAATATATAGATACATGTAAACGCATCAAGCAAATACATAAGCACACGCTTCCGGAGGTCCTCATGGATCTCTTGGTCCTCACGGATGTCTTGGGCTGGCGCCGGGCGCCCCACTGGCGCGCAAAAGTTTACGTTTATGTCGTCTGTTCCTGTTCGGCAAGCTCCTGGGGAGTCCAAAATTGTGGAGAGCTAAGAGCGCCTCGGGCCATACTCACCTCTGGCAGTCTCCGAGATGATAGCGCGCGAGAGCACGGCCATGGCCGCGGACACGGGCTGGGCTGGGGCTGCCCTGAGTGCTCGGGTCAAAATGGTCTGAGCCAAAAGTGGCTACGGAGGAAGGAGGGGAAAGGAGATGAGGATGAGGAGGGGCAGGAAGAGGAGGAGGAGGCTGAGGAGAAGGAGGAGGCGGAGGAGAAGGATAATGGTAAGACGAGGAAGATGAGGATGGCGAGGTGGATTGAGATGAAGGAGGGATAGGAGGATGGCAGAGCAGATATGAAGAAAGTAACGAGGTAGGAGGGGGAGAAGGATAATTATGCGGGAAGCGGAGGCGGAAGGAGAGAAGGGAGGGCACAAGCTAGGTGCGCTCGCGCAAAATCTGACGTCTTATCCCTTCCGTAACCCTGCAAGCCAAGAGCCAGGAGGACTTGGAGGAGGCGGATAGGGGGGAGGGGAGGAGGAGTAGGAGGAGGAGGAGGAGGAGGAGAAGGACGAGGAGTAAGAGGAGGAGGAGGAGGAGGAAGAGGAGGAGGAGGAGGAGGAGGGGGAGGAGGAGCAGGAGGGGGAGGAGGAGCAGGAGGAGGAGGAGGAGGAGGAGGAGGAGGAGGAGGAAGAGGAGAGGGAGGGAGGATGCAGTTCCGTTGGACGGAGGCCCAATGGGGATCAACACATGTGGCACGCGATGCAACGGGATCATCAGCGTCGCTAATGCAAGAATGCAAGCACCACTGCGACGAGAACGTGGCCCCCCGAACCCAAGATCGACGGAACTCAATAAGTATGGCGAGCCCTACAGCGGCAACGCCGCTTACACTCATAACGTTGGGGAGAGCGTTGCTCCGTTGGACAGTGTCTGCCTGGAGACACCTCCATGTGGCAAGTTCTGCAGCGAGAGTACCACGATTGAAGGGCCGAGACCGCTCTGATTGGAAAAGGCAATATCGGAAACCAACTTGGGACAATCCCGTGTAAAACACCGTCTGCGAATTTGGGAAGCGCAAACAAAGGCACCATCAGAGGAGAGAGGGAGTACCACTCAGATTGTGAGAGAGGGAGGAGGGATGATAATGAAGAATCGGGGTAGAATGCTGAGGGAGAGAAGAGACGACAATGAATGTGGTGGACAGGGGAGATGACGAGGAGGGAGGGAGAGTACCATGAGGGGGGAGGAGAGCACTATGAGGGGGAGTATACTGAGGGGGAGGAGAGGAGAGGGAGGCAAGCAGGGGGAAATGAAAAGGACGAACAGGAGGATGACAATGAGGAGAACCACTCCCTTTCCCCCTCTGCGCCAGAGTTGCCTTGACACCTCAGCTCGGCCCGCTCTGCGTGACGCCCGAGGCTGTGCCGCTGGGGCTTTTGGCCGACTGGCAGCAGGCCCAGAGGGTGCATGCCGTATCCCTCAAAGGGGAGCGGGCTGCCACAGCCCAGGAAGCAATGCCGCATCGAACGAGACCGTTGCGATTCCGGCCTCCATTGCGCAGTTGGGGTACCACATCCCCGCGCCCTGGCAGCTGTTCCCATGCATTTCCCACTGGCTCCTCCCGGCCTCTCAGCGGTCCTCCAAGGGCAAGACCGTGCACAATGCAGACAGCAAGAGCGCGCGAGTCTGCTTTGCGGGCCCATTGCGTTGTGAGCTTTGTCTTCGGCAGCACCACACATGGGAGCTTCAGAAACTGAGGGGCTCGGATAGAACTGCGGACAAGCTGCGCGGTGCCAGGGATGAATGAGGGGACATTGCGGGACGCCCTGGCCGAATCAACGCGCAACGCGACTTGGTGTGAAAATTTCAAGAGATCGCGGGCGACATTGCCATCCCTGCCTCTGCGACTCGGCTGCGTTCTGCCTACATGTCTCCCTTACCTCCCTTCCATCGTGGCCCCCCCCTGGGCCCCACACTACCTCCGCAGGCTCAACGCATTCTAGAACATTCCTCAAGAATCCTCTGAGATGCACTCTACCTCGGAACAAAGTCCCGCGCCGCCTGCGCTTCCCCCGCGACTCTTCGCATCAACCAATTCGCCCCGACGTGTCTTTGGGCATCGCCGCCGAGACTCTTAGACACTCGCGCCCTGAAGGACGCCGAGCCTCCGACGTCGTAATAGCCTCAATTCGCGATCCACCTGTCCTCAAGAGCTGGGCGATATGTAAGCCGGGCTTGCATGCACATGCGGCTGGGAGGAAACTCGTGGCACGGGGCCACTCGGAAAGGGAAAGGCGCTATTCCCATCTCTTTCCTCTGTTATTATTTTTGTTTTTGTTCTCTCGCTCTCTCTCTCTCTCTGCCTCTCTGCAGGAGCGGGGGAACCGGTTCAGGGAGGGAAACATCGACCCAGAATCGGCAATGCCGACAGATCGGCGAATGAGACTGCGATAGCAGATCCGCGCGTTGTTGTTGTTGTTGCTGCTGCTGCTGTTGTTGTTGGCGTTGTTGCTGCTGTCCCTGGGAGGGGTGGGCCACCGGCCCCTCTCGGTGGTCGATGCCTCCCTCCCCAGGCCTGTCGCCCTCCAAGCGCCGCCTATGATCTGAGCAGGGACCGACCGTCCCGGCATTCCTATAGGCCTACCACGAAATGTTCTTAGAACCCGAACACGTTCTAAGAACACAAACAAAGTTCTCAGACCATGAGCCCGTTGTGTAGAAAACAAATCGGTCCCAGCCAAACATGTTATGAGAACATGTCGTGGAAACCACACAAGCTTCTTAGAGCATTGTTCGGTAGGCCTATAGGAAAGCCAGGACGCTTCGCCACTGCTCGAATGATCTCCCTCCCGATCTCATTCTCCCCGTTGCTCCCTGGCAGAGAGCGGCCAGAACTCTGCGGCGCGCACGAGGGGGTAAAGGGAGGGGGGCGGGCGTCCCAGGAGGCGCTGCTTCTCAGGAGGCGCCGGCCCTGCATCTGCAGACAAGGCTCTGCGGCTTCCGAGACGCCGGGGTGCTTCCAGAAAGCCTCCCCCCTCCCTCGGACGGACCTCGAACTGAAATAAATCCGTTCTAGATCGTTCCGCAACGCGGCGCCCGATATATCCTCCTCCGAAACCGCCGATTCTCAGAGTTTCTCGATGTAGGTACACACACATACATATATATATATATACACATTATATATGCAATAAAGTAATCATCTATATCGGTCCGATGTTGTCTCGATCCTGTCTTCGTCTTACTCCCCCTGACCCCCAGACCCCCTCTGCGTGTGGCCGATCAATGTGCGGCCTGCCCTTGGCCGCCACACCCCCTGGCGGTCCACCGTGTTGGGAAAGTAGGGCGAGCCGCTCGCCGAGGAGCCCGACGGGTACATGGCGGCTGCCTCGCCGCACGGCGGGCCGCGCCGCCGATGGTGAAGCTGGGGGGGGGGGACGATGTGGGGTACCGTGGCCAGCGACCCGGCGAAGCCAACCTTACCCGATGCGGGCAGCGCTGCAGTGCCCGCTAAAAGGCCCTCACGTGGCTACGTCTGAAGGTGTCCAGACAGCACCCGCAAATGAATGCCCTTTTGGCGGCGAGGCACATGTACCGACCCCGGGCCCGGGATGGGCGGTGGGGGAACGTGCGGGGGGAGCCGTCTCAGGGGGGAAACATCGGCCTGGAATTGGCGATGCATCGCTAATAGATCGGCGACGACAGCTCCCCGCTGGCATATACGCACGGTCCTGGGCGGGGCGGGCCATCGCGCTCCTCTCGGCGATGAGTGGGCGATTTGGGGTCGATGCGTCCCCACTGAGCCCATCCCCCCTAGCATTGCCCCTTATCTTCGACTCCGACCCTGGCCCTCGACCTCTGGCTTCCGGGTCGTGACTCAAGTCTCGGGCGGCCGTACGGGACGATCCGAGCATCCCGCCCTCGGCGAGGCGCAGCCGCTGAAGGCACCCCGAGGCCAGACGACCGCCGGGAACCCACGAAAGGTCCCTCCCTGAGCCCATCCCCGCCCCCTGACGCACCGTGGCCCCGGAGGCACGACCTGGCCGCTCCCGTCCCCGCCGCCGCGTCAACCCGCGGCGGCCACTTGCCAGGATCGCAGGGCCGGGTGCACGACGGGCTGGCCGACGGGGCGGTGGCGCAAAAGGCGAGCCAAGCGCGGAGGGCGGTTTTCAGAGGAAGGGAACATCACTGCATAAGCATAAGGTGTCGACGGTCCGCGCGGATTTCTTGGGTCTGCGATGGGCCCTCATTCCCTGGCGCGCGGAGCGCGCCATGGGCGGCGCCTGAGGCGCCGCCAAGGGGGGGACAATGTAAGTTTATGCAGTTGTCCGTCTTCTTCGAGAACACCTCTTCCTCTTCCTCCTCCTCCTCCTTCTCCTCCTCCTCCTGCTCCTCCTCCTAGCGTGGAGAGCGGTTGGGCGATCGGCGGCAGCCGCGACGAGACCGTGTGGCCGCCCAGGTGATTCGCCCCGCGGCCGAAGCAGCGCGACTGTGTGAGAGCCCCCCCTCCGAGCCCCGTGGTGTCCCTCTCCCACGCGCCGCGGAGCACCTTCGGTGCGTGCAGGCTGCGTGGCCATCGATGGTGCGGGCGCATGGTCGGTGGAACCGATCGGGCAATGTGTTTTTTCAAACTTGCTGAAAACTGTTCAGTCGGCGCCATCCCCGTGCCACTCCGCCCGACGGCCCTTCGCAGCCCACCCACGGGTGCCGAACACACCCCCTCACGCGATCGAATCCTCGCACGAACATTACTGGACAGGCCCATTCTATACCCCCAACGCGATAACCCACCCACACTTATACAGCAATCCGAAGTACGCGCGAATGAACAACATCCTCCATGCCTGAAAACCCTGTCGCTCCTGTCATGTATATGCCGTGTGAACTCCCTTTGGTATTTGGCCAATCTGCCAAGAGAGCCTGCCGCATTGATATGCCGGCTTAGGCACTCATCGGCTGCATTGGTCTTTGTGAGCTTCAGTATATGACCAATGAAATCTGCATCCAAAAATATCGTCCACCCACTTGCAACAAGACTTCGTTGTGGAGTTGAAATACCTGTCACCCAACATACCCTTATGCTGATGCTTCACGCTGTCGCAGTCTCCGTTGTAGTCTGTCCCAGCAATTTTCTCCGCAGGTCGACAGCAGCAGGTGAAGCTGTTCTTGGCGTGCGCTTGCTCTTTCTCATCGGCCAAATCAAACAGCGAATTGGTTTCGCACAGCGGATGGACTATGCGGACATGATTATTCAACCATCTTTGCCAGCAGAGCTTGAAATTCTTGCACTGGGCCTTCGCTGGGTTCAGACAGTAGCTATCGTCTACTTGAGGCCAGCTGGAGTACTTCAGCAAGGCAAGGTTCCAAGGGTAGGGAGTCCGAGTGAACTTTTGGGTCAGACCGGCCAACGCCATGCGACCACATATTGGCGGCGTCGTCTTGTACTCAATTTCGACAGGTGGCTGCCAATCGGTTTGCCACAATGCTTGTTTCGGTTGGCCTGGGATCTCTATGGCATCCCATGTCAAAGGGAAGCAGGCAGTGGACTCTCTAATCATGAGTGTTTCTTCAGGCACTGGTTCGGACAAATTGCCTGGGAGCCCGAAACACTCTTCTGCGATGCTGTCCAGCGTATTGTTGTGTATCCGCGTGTACTGGCTTTTAAGAGGAATGGTAAACGTCACTGCGAGGCTCTTGAAGATGAGATCTTTTATGTCCTTGGACGTCGTGATTTTCGACCAGTCGACGTCAGAGTTCTCAACTGCCTGCATGAACTCAACCATGCGCTCCCATATATGGTTACGCTGACACTTACCGGTAGCCAGGCGCCCCTTGCACTCCCGCCACAAAGATCCGCCGACTCCTGCCTGCCAGGAGTGAGAAGACGTGTGGGACACCTAGCTGTCCTGCTCCACCTTTCTCCTCTTTCCCTCGGGTCCAAAACCTTGGCAGAAGGGAGAGGCGCTCGGGGGGGACGAGCTCTTCAACACACCTGAAGGGCCCTCGAAGTCTCTAAATCCAACCTTCATGGCTGCCAACATTCCCCAACTGCCTGCGAATATGTCTCCACAAGGGCTCCAACGCGCTGGAGAGGACTCGAGAACACCCAAGATGGCCTCAAGAAAGCCCAAGACGTCCCAAGAGGGCCCCCAAGAAGACCCCAAGAGGCAATAACACTTGTTCCCCCCCCAATTTTGAACAATTATTTTCGCGTCGTCGCTTTCTCTGGCTTCCCAGTCGCAGGCGGCACGAGGGGTCTGCCAGAACGGCTACAGACCGCCCAAGAGGCCCCAAAGGGCCAGAGACGGCCCAAAGTCCGCCCAAAAGCCACCAAGAGGACCCCAATAGGGGGGACTCACAGGCGCCCCGCAACAGACGCGGAGAAAGAGGAGACCGAATCGGCAGCAACTGCGCGCAAGCAGCGTGACGGGAAACTGCGAAAAACGAATGAGAAAACGGAAACCGCAAATCTCCACTTCTGGGGATCGGCGGAAAGGCTTAAGTCTCTTGAACAGTTGCTTGTGGATGTTCTCGGGCTGGAGATCAGTCGCGTAGACATCATCACCGAACCTACTCCTGATCTCTGTTGCAAGGTTGGCAGCGACAACGCCTTTTTCAAAACTTGTTGCGGGTTCGTCCCTTTCAGCAACCTCGGATAAACGAGTCCAAATCCATCGGTAAGGGTCCTGTTCGAGCCTTTGCCTCACACATGCTGATGTGTCTTTCAAACGAGAGAAAGACTGCTTGAACAAACAGCAGCCATGAGGATCTGCTTTCAACGTGTCAGGATCACCACAGTTGTCGTACATGTGACGCAAGCAAAAGGAATCCATATAGTTTTTGTCTTTCGGGTGCGTCGTCATGACGGAATCCGCAGACCCACGCTTGCTGGTGAAAAGGCATGTGAGCCATACAGCTGTCCTCAGCGCCTCTCCCGGTGCCTCCAGAGCCATACAAAAGCTCCAAAACAGCCCAGAGGGGCCAAAAGAGAGTGCCAAACTAGTCCAAGAGAGCGTCGATACGGCCAAGGGTAGCCCCACACCGGTCTAGGATGGCTGCGAGACGGTCCACGAGGCCCCAAGAAGGCCAATAATATTCGCAGAGGGCCGCCGAGAGGGCCCCAAGACGCAAAAATCGTCCCACTCCCGTAGGGAAGCGACAACACATGCACATACTCGCCTTCTTCGCCTTGACAGCGTCCAAGATGGCCCAAGGGGCCCCGCAGATCATCCCAAGGCGGCCCATGAGGCTCCTAGAAGGGAGCCCCAAGACACCCCAAAGAGGCCCCAAGAAGGCCCCTATGGGCCCCCAAGAGGGCTCTAAATAGGGCCTTACACGAGAAACACGAGCTGGCATTTGAAAAAGTTCTCCTCATATGGCCCAGAGAGCTCCCCAGAAGCCTCTGAGGCGCCCGCACGAGGCACCTCCAAGAAACCCCCAAGAATTCCAAAGAGAACTCGAATAGGCCCCCAATTCTTTGCTTTTAACTAAGCAACTTCCACATAGAGGAGGCCTCCAACACAAAAATCCAAGAAGCCACAAAATGACCACGATAGGCCCAAAACCTCAAAATCCCAACACATTCCACAAAGAGCTCCCCAAGATGTCCCCCATGTGTATCCGAGAAGCTCCTGGCCCACTACACAACTCGCTTGTGTAGTCCACACAGAGTCGAGAACGCATTCAAGAGGCCCTTCAGATCGCCCCAAAGCGGCCAACTATTGCTCGAAGACGGCCCCAAGACGGTCATTATGCAGCTGAGGAAGCGCTCAATCAAGACGCCTATAGAGAGCGCAAGCAGGACCTCAAGAGGAGCCCAAGAGCGGAAACTCGAACTGGCATTTCGAGCCCCCCCCCCGAAGACAGAGAAGCCACGAAACCGCCAGCTGGCGCCAAGAGCCCCTCAAGGGGCAACCAACATGCCCGAAAACGATCCCCAAGAGACTCCCGAACGCCTCACCTGCTCTTCTGGGGGTCGGCGGGATAGCGCAAACCATTTGGATAATGGTACGGCATGTAGTTCTGCACGTTACCAAACATTCGGAGTGGATTCATGGTGGTGACAGGATAGAACGGAAGGTCCGCACCAGTCTCTTTGTAAGCCCAGAAGGGCTGCAGTGATACATCTAATTCTTTTATCATCTCGCCCTGCACGCTCACGTCATCGTACGAACTCCTGTTCCTGGGATTTGGCCGCCAGCAGCGAGCCATCTCTCGCAGGATCGTGCGCACGGGCTGATGACGCTCAGCATCCGTTTTGATGTGGTACCCCATTGGCATCCGCCACCGCGACGCTGGGCGCGGAATGGGCGTGCCCGCAGGTCCATTGCCTGATCCTCTGAGCCTCAATCTTCACGCCTCGGCTACACGCAATAGTGACCCTAGGCAAAAGTGACCTTGGGTGCGAGGCTTAGGTGGGGGGCGGGGGGCCCAGACCCAAGCGCGCAAGCCGTTTCTGTCGCACATTTCTCGGCGATCGGGGGACGCCAGTGGGCCCGCACCAAAGGCCACTCGGGCGAAAAGTCACCCTAACGTCTGGTCGAACTCCCGACGTTGATAGCTGAAGTGAAGCATGTGAGAATGATGTTGGTGGCCGTTGCCCCGCCGATACGCCAGTCAAGAGGAGAGGTGGAGAGGAGAAGCGCCGCGCAAGCCACACTTTGCGAGCCCGAAACGGATAGCGACCGCACCCCCAAAGCACCCCCTGTGGCGTCGAGAAAGTACTGCGCGTGCCACGCGTGGCGAGCCCGAAACGCATAGCGACCGCCCCCCCGGCGCACTCCCTTTGGCGTCGAGAAAATAACGCGCCTGCCACGCGTTGCGAGCCCGAAACGGATAGCGACCGCACCCCCAGCGCACTCCCTTCGGCGTCAAGAAAATGCAGCGCTTGCCACGCTTTGCGAGCCCGAAACGGATAGCGGCCGCACCCCACGCGCACCCCCTACGGTGTCGAGAAAGTGCCACGCCTAGCGGATAGCGACCGACCCCCCAGCGCACCCCCTGTGGCATCGAGAAAGTACCGCGCCTGCCACGCGTTGCGAGCCCGAAACGGATAGCGACCGTACCCCCAGCGCACCCCCTGTGGCGTCGACGAAATGTCACGCCTGCCACGCGTTGCGAGCCCGAAACGGATAGCGGTCGCACTCCCAGCGCACCCCCTATGGCGTCTAGAAAGTGCCACGCCTGCCACTTGCTGCGAGCCCGAAACGGATATCGACCGCACCCCCAGCGCACCCCCTGTGGCGTCCAGAAAGTGCCACGCCTGCCAGGCTTTGCGGCAGTGTCGTGGATAGCGGCCGCGCTGAAACACTACCCCCTGCGCACCCCCTATGGTGTCCAGAAGGTGCCGCGCCTGCTAGGCTTTGCGACAGTGTCGTGGATAGCGGCCGCGCTGAGAGACCACCCCCTGCGCACCCCCGATGGTGTCCAGAAAGTGCCACGCCTGCTAGGCGTTGCGAAAGTGTCGTGGATAGTGGCCGCGCTCAGAGACCACCTGCTGCGTATCCCTTATGGTGTCCAGAAAGTGCCACACCTGCAGGGCTTTGCGGC